ATAACCCGGTTCGAGGAGGAGCGGTCCAGCGGTCCAGGTTTGTGTGGTATAACATGCGTATTTGGCGCAAAATGCGTAGTTTGTCTTTTTCTCTCTCCTCCAAACGCAAATTTGCGTTTTACTCTTCACAAACGCAAAACAAAAAGTTATATGCACATTCGTTTATATATATTTTAAAAAATATATTGAATTATGTTTATTTGTATCGACTATGATGACTTCCAACAAGCATAAACAAACTCGGGCAAATCTTGACCGAAACTTTTGTGAACATCAAAGTTGTTGTTTCCTTAATCAGTTACCATCGCCTTGGATAAATCATATAGTGAAACAAACATAATCATCATAAATTATGTAAATGTATATGAAGACACATGATAGAACAAGTCAAATTTCACCCTATTATATGTCTCCAACCCTTTCCTAAAGCTTAAAGCCTTATCAAACTATAGTAGCAGCAAACGATGAAACATCACAACAATGAGTAATGCCCAAGATTTGATTGGTTGCTCAAACGTCCAACAACCAATTATATAAACGGAATATTTTCACCCTAATACAATCAATCGGAAACGCACACACGTATGGTATGTGAGCTTGTGCATTGTTCGTTCACATAAAATATGCAACACTGAATTTGGATATACGATATCGGAATACGCGAAAGTTTATCACATATTGTAAACTATACTGATATGGTCCGAGATCGGTGGCTTCGGTCTTGCGGAAGGTTCTTCCCGGTTACGACGTTGGTTCACTTGATTTGATCCGGTCCGAGCTTGAGTGTTGTTCGGTACCTGAAAGCGCGCCGGAATTTCTCCGGCGCAAGCCCTCCGACGCCCAAGTTAGGATTTCGGATTTAGAGAGAATTATTCGTAATAAATGTTGTAGTAGGATATTAAATGAAGTCTTACCTTTCGGTTGCGGAACTTATCCTTTATATAGCGACTAGATTTACGGTCTTGTTATTGGGACCGTAAATCTCCGAGTGACTTGATACCTATAGACCGGTCGACTCTCGGTTGAGGGTCGAGCCCTTTCGGCCATGGGTGTTAAGGTCGAGCTCTCTTGGTCGAGGCCTTCCGATCGTGGGTCGAGCCCTTCCAACCGTGGGTGTTAGGGTGGAGGGTTTTAGAGGCGAGTGTGTTAGGGTCGAGGGTGTTAGGGGCGAGGGTGTTAGGGTCGAGGGTGTAAG